GTGCATCTCCTATACATGGACGGACTTGACTTGACCACGAATGATTTATAATTTATTTAATTAACGATCCGAACGCATTCCATTATTGAAAAGCATTTAATTAATAAGTGGTGGAGCCACCGAGGTGAATTCACCTCGCCTTCTATCGCCGTCACATCTGTATTTCTCCTCTTCTTTCTTTCGTTAAACGGAAATTCGTGTCGTCCTTAATGAAGTCTTCATTATTATTGAATTTGATGCCTTTTGTTGTTTTTAATTAAAATCTAATTAACCGGAGGTGCCGTCCCAAATTGAAACGATCGAGAACGAAAATTAATAAACGTGAAAAACAAAGCGCGCCACGTGAAAATTTGATTAATCCTTAGCGCCCGAAGAATTAATCGGCCGCGGTTTTCGGTCGCTGTTTAATTGATTCCTAGCAATTTAATTACTCTCGATTGTCTACCATAACCTTATTAGAAAGTTTACCCTCTTTCGTTCTTTTTCACATAGGCTTGTAGACAAATACAAGCATCAATAAACAGTAGTGTTTTGATTAGCACACAAATTATACATAAGTATCTGTAATTCAAGTAAAACCTTAACTTATGCTATACTGGCCAACACTCGTTTAATACTTAAGCTGTTAATTATTATATATTGGTTTATTCATTCGAAAATAGTTATATTTAGTTAGTTCATGCAGAAAATGATTGTTTAGTTTTTCTTTTCAGTACATGATTATAATTATCATCGTTACGTAGATGTGACGTATCCAAGTGGGTTATTTTCTGTGTCAATGTCACTTTGACGTTTACAACCACTTTTGGTTTAGTTAACTTGTCAAATATGTTTTTTTTTTGTATCCACGCGACTTTCCTTCCTTCCTTTTTATTTTATCTTGTTCGTCGTACCGTTTCTTCGCGTGTTAAATATATTTTTATGTTTATATTTACTTTTGGGAGGAGAGTCCAATTATATTCAAATAAATGGTGGTCTCTGTTTTGCGCGCATTAATTGGCCAATAAAAAGAGAGGCAAAACCACAACCACCTTCAGTCTCATTCTCTCTCTCTCTCTTTCGTTTATGCATACACACATATTCTCAATCGGGGGCGGCGTATTACGCTCGCAATATGGGTTTTGGGGCGATGTGCTTTTGCGTATCCTCGATGGGCTCAATGTGTATGTTGTCTGTATTATATGTATATACGAGAGGGGTGGTTGATTGTGTATGTGTGTGCAAGAGAGAGGGAGAGGAAACAACATGATCGCTATGTGTTATCTCCGCACCGGAGGGCCCGAAGGGATGAGATTTCCGTAATTACATTTCCGGTGAAATACGCCAAACATCAAATTTGCGGCCGCCGCCGCCGCCTCTGCTTCTACCACCACCACCACCTCCTACACTCTCTCTCTCTCATTCCTGCCTCTGATTAAAACTTATCGCTTGCGCAGTCCGCTTTAATTTTATTTCCTGGGGTAAAAGAACACCCGACTCGCCCCCTCCCCCCAACACGACCTAAGCCGCACCACACTGGAAAAATGTAATCGAGGGATTCCCAGACTCGGCACGCACACGGATCCCAATTAATTGACTAATTAATGAAACACGGAATGCAGCACAAACACCAACACAAAGGGTGTCTTAACTGAAACACGTTCATTAACATACCGAACGCAACACGCGGACAACAATCGCAATCGTAGATCAATCACTTAAGAAATGGTGTGAAAATTAAACACAATATTTTCTAATGCTTCATTTGTTTTGTATCTTGTTTACAAAATTGAGCCATGAATTGAGAACGAATATTTCTAATTGGAAATTATACTTATTAGATTTTCTCCGAAATACAAATGATAAATTCCTACAAAATTAAATTATGTTGCAAAACTTTTTTAAATGCAGATTGAAAATTGCATTCTAATTGAATCATTTCAATTTGTTGAAAGGCGCTGGCTATAATTTTCGTTTGGAATGATATACTGCCGGGCTCACGGAATCTCAAAACGACGAAACAAAAGCCAACAAACAACAAAAAAAAAACGAATCGGTGGAATGTTTCCGGAGCCCCCTGCGATACACATAATTACGTAATAAAAGGGGATGAAGAGAAATCCGAAATATAATAATAATAATAATCAGAATCACGTAACAGAAACAACGAGACAGCTCAAAAAAAAAAATAGACGACGACTGGAAGGAAACGAGGAATTTCGGAGCACGCCATGGCATGCAGGGCGAAAATAAAGTAGAAAAATCAAAGAAAATTGGTCGAGGGGGGGGGAGGTTATGTCGAAAGGAATTAGATTTTCTTCCTTCGGGTCGTATTTTTTTTTTCCTTCTTTTTACCTATAATTATTATTGCGTTTTCAGAATCTGCACGTAATTCAATTACAACACGTTCGTTCTGTTATTATTATTATTATATTTCCCTTTTTCTTCCTCGGTTCTCTTTCTTTCTTTCTCTTGCTTGATGGTTTCGGACATCGCGTGCGGTCGACGGTCACTTAAACCGCGTGTTTACATCCGCATTTATAGCAGAAACAATGGTCGAGCGTCGCGACGCCGTCGTCGTCCTTAGTGGTGGCGAAGTAGAAGCGGTCGGAGGGGTAATGGTATCACGGCAAAGGGGCATTAGTTTCCACACGCAGAACGTATCAATTTGTCAAATGAAATCAAAACACGAGCGAGCGCCCTCATGTAATAATGACTCTATCAAAAGGCCACAAAATATTAACTATCCCCTAAAAATGAAGTTACATGATTGTTCTCTCTTCTTTGAGTCTTTTTACGATGCTGTTCGAAACGAAGTAGAGAAGAAAAAGGGGAAGAAGCGAAGTAGGATGAAAGAGAAGAGAAGAGAAATGTATGTGTGTGTGAGAGAAAGGGAAAGAAGGCCTAGCTAGCTCTGCACCTGACACTGAGACATCTTAATAACGCGACTTGACAGCTAAATTGCGTTCACTCGTAAACTACACCACGGGAAAATTTATTATAACACAGCCCGTGGAATACGGCCTTTATTATCGTCATTTATTTTTAACCCGAGCACCCTTTTTCTCGAAGCCACGCATACATACGAACTAGACTAACGCGCGAATGACGAAGACAACGAGAAAGAGAGTTGCGAAGAAGAGAGACGACCAGCACCAATCCAAAACAAAATAATACAAAACGTTTACCTTTTTTATTTCGTCATCGCCACCTCGTGCAACGTTCTTTTTATTCATTCGCTTTTTGCAGAATACACACACACACACACACACCTTCGTTAATTAGTTTTTAATTAAAAAGCGAGGTGAAAAGTCTTAATCAATAACGAGTTGAAACACGATCTCTCGCTCTCTCTCTCTTTGAGTTGCAATGAATGTATTTCTTACATTCAATTAAATTTAACACCATAAATACTTGATTTTAATACAGCAATAATACAAAAAATTAATTAAGTTATTTGGCAATATTGTATTAAAAGTAATTTAATTTGAATTGAATTTATTAGTCTAAACAGTCCTCTCACCCATCCTTCTTCTTGTCTTTGAACATTCGATCGTTCTGCATGTTCCAATATTACTGAACGCGTACAGTATATGCTCAAGCATGATAAATGTCGGACATTTGTAACACTCTCTTAAGCGGGGCATGCATATGGGCTAAATTTATAACAATTACTGAGAATAAATTGTAATAAATCGATCATCCTTAAACCGCGAACGCTCAAGACCAAGTTGCTCTCGCATTTTCTTTTTTCTCCAATTAACGAGGATATTGCATCATCGTCGTTCGTATTCGCTTTTTCATTGAATTGGATAAATTTCGTTTGAATTTTCTCAACGTTTCCCATCGAAATAAATTACGTTTTGGGAAGAGTGAAGAGTGTCGTGCAAGAACTATAAGAAGAGAGAGACCCCCCAGTGGCGGCGCGGCGCTCAACATTCGCGTGTTGATGTTTCAATTTAGCGCGCGATCCTCGACTCACACATACACAACGCCCAAGCATTTCACGACTTCCCTCCGACGTAATTCCATACTACGTTTTCTCTTTACCGTCAAATTGTAATTTTTTATTTTCTACCATTTTTTCATTCCAATATTTTGTGTTTCTTAAAACAATCATATTTATTTATTACATTATTATTTGATATACGTTTAGCAATTTACAACAAAATACTTACATCACCACTGATTTATTTCGCTATATGTTACAGTTATTATTTTTCTGTTGTTTTTTCTTTTGCAATTGGATCGTCCTTCGTGAATGAAACTAAGTGAACATCGCGTTTTCCGTGATTTGTTGCCGCGCTTCGGATGAAGTTTATAACGTGTGAAAGGGGTGAAAATCAATGTAACGCCGCTAACGTCAGTCTCAGGTTGAGGGGGTGGTGTACTCCCCCCTTTGCGTGATCTTTCGTCCCCCCCGCCACCTCCTCCTCCCAACAACAAAACAACAACAGCGGTGGCGGCGGCGGCACGTTCGGTCTTTGATCCGCTATCGTATTTCCCTTCCGCCCTTTCGCGCTTTCCCCCTTTTGTGCCGCCGCCCTAGCTAATGACTCAATTGCAATTTTTGGCACGACACGCGAAAAATTATATTCTTCTAATTTCAAGCAAAAAAAACGATTCTCGTATTTTACAATTTGATTCTCTCATTATTATTGTTGTTACTAATTTCCTCTTTACTAGAATATTTATTAAATTATATATCATTCTCAAATTTCAACGTTAGTACTGTCTACATATACATTTCTCGAAGCGTTTCAATTTTTAATATTTTTATTTGATTATTTCTTATAGTAATAATTACAAAAAAATACTACTTACCTGAACGTGTATTGATGTTAGTCCAAATGGCTAAAATCAATTAAAATATTCCACTTGAGAATATTGTTCAAATTCACTAAATTGATAAAGTAATAATGAAGGGTTTCAATTGGCAGCAATCAGTATTTTAAGGTTATAGGTGTTTTTTTTTTACTAATGAATGACGAAGGGCTAATAAATAATATGTTTATTGATGCTTCTTACTTAGTTAGATTTGATATTGTAGATCACTGATAAGTTTTGCGGAGATTCGCTGAGATATCACCGCTTTGACATTATTCTTTGACATTTTCGTTTACGGGCATGCACAAGTTATTGGAGATAGTTATATAGAGATAGAGAGTTAAAGAGTTTCGGAGGAGGAGATAGTAGAATAAGTGTGTGTGAAAGAGAGATAGAGAAAGAGAAAAAGAGTTGGGAATGTAATGATTTAGGAATCTCTTTTCATCATCATCAAACTTCCTAAACTAACAAATTTGAACTCGTTTAATTTTGTATTGCTGATAGAGCCATATTTCGGATAGGGGATTTAGGGGTAGTTAGATATATATATATATGTACTATTCTGTGACTTAAGTTAAGTAATTTAATAAATATATTGGAATTGTCTCATATTTTTTTTTGTCGTCGTCGTCGTCGAATGTGGGGAATTTCGTATGTACAGTTGGCCTTTCTTGGAAAGGGGGGATAATATTTACACTAAGAGGGATTTTTGAGGGTTTCTTCTCTAAAAAACACGTTACACGACACTTGTTTGCTTCTTTCTAAAGTCCTTAAATTCGAAATAAATATATATATATAATATACTTTCTTGTTTTATCTCTTGTGTTAAGTTAAATTAATTATTTTCTTTATATATATATATATATATAGTTATATACATTATTGCACAATTCTTGGGAGATAGATGATATTTCCTTCTCTCGTAGATCCTTACTAACGTTATTGTTTTTCTCTTCTTTATTTTTGTTTTTGTTTGGAGGGGGTTAGTTAATTTCTGATTTCTTTCATTGCTTTCAGTGTTCGCAAATCAAGTCCTTCAAGTGTTCAAGAGGGATTCTATACTGAAGGGGTTGGGGCGTCTGGTCTTGTCGTGGTCGTGGGTGGCTGCTGTCAGGTCGACCCCAACCTCCTCGGTGACGGGAGGGTAGTGTCCGCCGATGGAGGAGTCGTGCTCGCTGCCGCCGCACATGTTCTCCGATTCGGCGCCGCTATCACCGACCACGTCGATGTCGCTGTCGCTGTCCAGGATGTCGGCACCCCTCTGGTTCAGGTAGTCCCTCTTCAAAGCCACCAGATCCACGGCGATGCCCTTCGCACGCAACTTCCTTGCCTGCCTCTCCAACGCCTTCTGCAACTTCTTCCGTCGGCGCGCCCTTTCCCTTGCTCTCAGCTCTGATGGTGGAATCGGTTCCCCGGAGCAAGATTGGGGGTGCGCATTGTGAGCCGGCCTTCCTGGACCCTTCTTCGTGTGCTCCTTCTTCCTCCACTTGGCCCTTCTGTTCTGGAACCACACCTGCAAAACAGCGGAAACAAAAACAGGTATGAAATACGTTGTAATAATCAAACCAAAAAAACACAACCCCATCCATCAAATAATCAGCGGATCCGTACCGCGTCATCGCCACCGCCGCAGCCCTCCACCCTCACAAATAACAACGCTGAATTATGATTTTATTATCAGCTATTCGTGTTCTGGGGTAATATCACTATTCTTTTGCCTATTTATTCCTCACGTTCTTGTTTTTTGTTTTGCTCCTTTTTCGTTATTTAGTTACCCTTTTGGTTTCGGAGATAAGGGCCGCACATAAATTTTTCGACGATTAGCGCCTTCCTCGCCACCACCCACTACTCCGCCCACAGATCCATATTCCCCGAGTTTACCAGATTCGCGCTTGTTTCAATTGGCAGCGCCACCTCTAATCCCGTAATTACATAATTAGATAATAACATTTAAAATGTAACATGTTATATAGTAATAAGTAAATTAAAGTCATGTTGGGTGTATATTTTATTCCCAAACTCGAATGAAAATGGTTCCTTTCGACGAGTTTATCGGATTTTTATCCGGGACATAAATTTCTCGGACGCTCTAAACCGTACGGTAAACGGGGGCGTCCAAGGACGTGTTGCGACGTGTCGCAGGATTGTAGATGGCGATGGAGGGTGATGAAGGTAAAGAGGGAAAAACGTATGCCGGAAAAATAAAGTCGTCATCTGGTGGTGCGGTGGTCCACCTCCATCCACCTCTACCCGAAGCCAATGCCGGGTCAAGTTTGCGGTCCGGGTTTATCCCCCCGAGATCCACGCTAAGGACCTGCCGGACGAAAGGATCACGCCTCGATGTTTTTCCAATTGAGGGAAAAACATCTCCCGCATCGGGCCCATAAATTGCAAACTGCTCTCTCCCAAAAAAATACACTGGAGTTTGAGTGTGAGTGAGAGAGGAGATCGTCCAATCCGCGGATAGAATGTGCCAACGAAAAAAAAAAGTATAGACAAGAAAGATCGAAATGTATTGGGAGATTGAGAGAGAGGGGAAGATAATTCCCCCAGTATCAGCAGAAAATTGGGAGACCAATCCTATATCTCGCGACACACTATAAAAACTTTCACATAGATACGACGAATAAAAATGGATTGTTTTTTGTTTGTCGCGTGCTTCGGTTCAGAGCAAATCAAATACAACAAAGTTAAATCAAAAATGGCCGACGAATTCAATAGCATCGAGATTACATTACATTCGTATAAAGAATTTAATCTCTAATTGATTATAGTATATTAATTATAAAATAATCTAGTTTTTAAACGTCGGATTAAATTTTGAAACGATATAATAGCGACCGTAACATAAACATACATTGTAGATATTTCGTTTTCGTACGATGCTGACATTACGTCAAAATGACAGTTTCAGTAAAATATAATAGCGACGCTGGTGAAATTACCACTAATTCGTGTAATTCAATTCATTATAACGGCGGCGGCTGTTTTGCACGAGTTTGTGCGTGTTTTATTTTATTTTTTTCGATTCTCATGGATTCGAAACGAAACGCATAAATATGAAGAGATACGCGCCGCGCGATAAAAGTTAAAAGAGTTAATAACACGCGGCGATGAATAAAAATGAAATTTGTCGCGTTTAATTAAACGTTTCAAGTTAAACGAGCCGACCATTAATAATCCGAAATGTGAATAGTACAATGAAATAATAAAAAAAAAATATCAAACAAACAAACAAACGGAACGAAATGTGGAAACAAATGCTGGGCAAAGGGAATCCTCCCCCGGGGGAATGAAAGCGCGCGCGCGCGCGCGCGTTCGTTTCCAATGGTGGTGCGCGCGAGGAGTTGCAATTAAAATGTTGATTAATGAAGGACGTCGAGTAATTAATAAGAGCGGTTGGAACGGGAAGAGGTGAGGTGGTGGGGTGCGGTAGAAAAGGGCGTAAATGAAGATGTAATCAGCCGGTGGGGAAACAATGAGGCGAGAAAATTTCCGACCACAAACTAATCACGGTACGAGAAGAGAGAAGGGATTCTGTACGTTTCAGGGTGTTTGCATCATTCTATACATGCATGGGTGTGTGTGTATGTGTTAGTGTACGTAGAGAAGAGAGAGAAAGGTGTATCTTGATATAGTGCACAATGCTAGTGTGTGTATGAAGTCATCAACCTTAACGCAATCAATTTATATGTATATCGTGCAATTATAACAAAACTGGCCGGGGAATAACCGGACACAGCGCAGAGCACCACAGTACTGTGTGTGTGTAGATTTAGTGTGTGAGCGCGCGGTGCGAACGCGATGGGATCGAGAGGGATGGAGCGTTCCAGGCTGGCCACTACATGCCAACCGAACAAGACATACTGCCAACATCACGCCCCCAAATTACCATGCTAATTATACATATACATCATGCACCCCGGGGGCGCACGAAATTCACTTTCGACTCTGCGAAGCCACGAACAAAAGAATTCATATTTACTATTTACAACTACTAAACTAATCAATATCCAATGCATTCGTAAAAATCGTGTGGAGGGGGTGTTATTGTTAATACACAATTTGACAAAAATCTTGTACAGTTGCCACGTCAACAAAAGAATAAGCAATAAGTTGGGAATTGAGGTGTTTCCTTTCCCTTCTGACTGTTATCGTTGCCGAATTTGCATCTAATATGTATTTGGGGGTGGTTCGAGGGTTCGCTCTATTACGTTTATGGCCCGCTTTTGCGTTTGCCCGTTTCTGTTACATATCTTTGGGGTCTCGTTATTGACCAGAGCACGGGCAGGGGGTGATGTGGTGTGGTGTGGTATGGGGATGTACGTACGTATGTATGTATGTGGTTCGCACGAATTGATTGCATGGCATACGGAATCAGGGCAGGCGTTGATTTGAATATTTCGTTCATTAAAATCGAATTTGTGATTTTATTAATGGCAAACAACCCCCGCACCCCTACACAACCCCCCAATCATTTTCAAATCAAATTTGACGGTGTGCTGTTACACGTGATCGTCGACTTACCGCCACGCGACTCTCCTTAAGGTCCAGACGCATCGCGAGAGCCTCCCTCATGAAGACGTCCGGGTAGTGACTTGCAAGGAACGCTCTTTCCAACTCCTCCAGCTGCCAACTATTGAAGTTTGTCCGACTGCGACGCCTCTTGGACGCCGCGCTCTCCGAATCTGCCTCGTTGCTGCTTCCTGCGCCTCCTGCAAATCAAAAACAACAACATGAATACAACAACATCGCTAACAAAAAGAATTGGTAGAAGAAGTGTGGTAGTTTGTGTGAACGCTTCTCAGGCTTTGGTGCAATTTTCGAAAATTGCCACTCATCTGCCTTGTAAATTATTAATATTATTATGAGACGCAGAACCGTACTTGGCTGATCGTGTTTAGCAAACAATATTTATATATACGATACAAATTCAATACAATTGTAGGCATTAATTGCATAATATTTTTAATTTAAATTCAATCCAGTAATGTCACAGTAATAATTCAATGGCAACTTGAGTTTTCTTAAATAACAACCGGAACAATCTTGCATCAATCCTGAACTGAACGATGCTGTGTGGATGCGTCTTTATCCAGAATATAAACGCTTAAGGAGATAGAATGAGTAAGAGAGAAAGAAAGAGATAAGCTCTACGTAGGTATGAGCATATGCGCGAGATGATGATGATGATGATGTTTGGGTCTTAATCTCCCGGCATATATGTATAATAAAGATGTTATGTTAATGGCGCATTCCCTCACCGGTTATTAACCATTTGAGATTTATCAAATTGATATAAACTCACCGTGTACTTTATTTAATAACAGTTTTTAAAAGTTTTTTATGTGTTTTGCTTAACGCACGTGTAATTTCGTCCGACCGTCTCTCTCGCAATTTGTGCCTCTCCCCCCTGACTCTATGATGTTGCTTGCGCCCCAGCGAAAAACTACTACTTCACTACCTTCGGGCACGAAACCATCATTGTTGTCCCCCCAAAAACAGAAGAAACCAACAACAACAACAAAATCGGTCTAAATTACTTAATAATCTATAGAAAATCGCCGATTATTTCATGAGTAGATCCCAAAGGCACTAATGAATTTATTTAAATAATTAAATAGATGCAGTTAAACTTTAGTTTAAAATATATGTGATTATAGTCATACACAGAACGCGCAAATTAATTTTGCTGTGTTCGCTGTGGCTGCGAGCGTTTCAGGTCGAAATGATTTCTTCTCTTTAGCGAATCTTTTATTTTTTGAATTGCGCTCGTAATAACAGGGATGGAAGCGATTAGTTTCAATCAATTTCTCGTTTGCTCCGAACGCCACAAGCCACAATAATAAAACACTGATTAAGGCAGCGAGTAAATGATACGCTTTGTTCCGATTAAAACTATAAATCGTACAATTAGATACAAACGGATTATGAGAAAAATTGATATCAAGGGTCTGTAGATGGCGCCAAATGCGGTTGTTTCTCGTACTAATTAGTTGCGCGACTCTTTTTGGGGGGGTGGATGGTAGGAGGTGGAGGCGGCGGCGCTGAGGGGCTCGGACCGACCGGAAGTGGTTGTCGGGGTTAAATTGGAAATAGAAACTCATTTGGTATTCATGGTATGTATAGATGGGGACTTAATTAGTGTCAGAAGTCGGCGGCGCGCTGATAATGCAGTATAAATGTATTCGGACTGACAGTGTCATTTATAATATAATTAGCAGATTTCGGATGGTGCTTCTGTGCGCCACCCCTCCGCCCAACCGCCCTCTGCAGTTTCCAACAACAACCGCCCGCAACCAACGCACTTTAACAAACTGGCCCCGCAATAACAAACTGGCAATTAGCTTTTATTGCTTGATTGGCTTTATTGATTTTCCAATCGTTTAATGTATTCAAATCCCGTGCATCCTGTTTTATTTATAATCCCCGCGCGAATCCCCAACAAAATCCTTCAATTACGCCCCGAACATCCGATACAACCGAAATCACCGAACACACACACAGCCGATTGCGACAAGCAAACAAAATATAAAAATGAAGGGGACAGAACAAATATTAATTTATATTCAAATTTCCCCCCGGAACAAATCGAATCGCAACAACGAACGCCATCTGTTGACTCTCCTCTAACCGCACTTGCAGTTTTTCATATTCGTCTTCGTTTAGACAAACTTCTGCTTCTGTTCGACCCAAAGTTAATTGATTTTGGGAGGAGATGGAGTGGATATGTGAGGGTAGTAAGGATGAGGAGGGGGGATCTGGTGGACGGATTATAATGCAATATGCAATAACATTTCCGGCCGTTTTTATGATGTATGCGATTCAATTCGTCGGGAATTGGAGATAAGGGCGAGCAGATTGCCGGATCCGGATCCATCCGCAGCGGCGGGTCTCTTCGTTCTCGTCCCCGGGTCCCGTGATTTATTCAATTTCTGCCCACGACGCAGATATATCGTTCCGATAAGATCGAGCGAAAATATGGTATAAAATTTTGTAAGTAAGCAGCGGCGGAACCGGGGGGCGGGGGAGGACGAGGAGGAATTTATGGATCCAATATGCGAATCTATCAAGCAGCCCTGACGTTTCAATTTGATTCGGTCGATCGTTGTTGTTTTTGCCTTTTGTTTTCGTGTGTGTGCACCATTTTATTCGCGGAACAGTCGAAAGAGAGAGATTTCGAAGAGCAAGTTATTTATTGCGCATCAATCGACCAATTTTGCCTGAGGTTACTTATTTCCATATCTTCCTTACTTCCTTCCTTCTTTTTTTGTTTTGTTTCGATGAGATGTGACGCCGTAATTGGGGGGATACGCTTTCAGTTTTAAATCAATTTCATCTACGCCCCAAGCCTCCACATACTCTTATCTATCCCAACATAATATAAGCATCATTTAATCTATATCCCCCATAAAACATCAAATTAAACTCAATGCAAATTTTAATCTTGCTGTTTTTACATACCACATCCTACACTTATTATTCTCTTAACGGTTGATTACTATTATTACCAATTGAAATCTTAAATTCGTTTTTAATCGCAACGTCGAATAGAGAAGTCATTGTTTACACGGATTCAGTTAACGTCGCTGCTGCTGATGATGATTAATATAATCGAGATCTATTTATTGGCTTCGCCGCGATAGCAAAATAAAAATCTTATTTATAGTCGCCACTGTGATTAATTTGCCGACTGCAGATAACGCATGCAGAAATTGCCACATCTCGTAAATTATTCAACAAAATTTAAAATAATTTCATAAAATATCCAATTTAGTTAGTTTTGGATAGAATTGGAAATGAACAAAATAATATGTTTTCTCTTTTATAAAGTAAGAATGTGGTACATATATGGAACAGAATTGTGGCATTGTGAAGCTGTCTTTTCTGGTTGATAGAGAGAGGAAATGATAATAATACTAAAAAAGATATACATTTAGTCGTAAAAATTTTACGAGCGCAATTATGATGCAAATGAATTTATTTTTGATTGGGGAGACTTAATAATGAGATTATCGTAAGGTTTTTCATTTTTATTTATTTCTTTTTAAATTAATATTTAAATTTCCATAAAGCCGGCGGTTCGATCGGAAAGCGGCTCTCATCCAGGTGCTCAAGATACTTGCCGAGACGTATTGATGCGTACTTAAATACAATGTAATAATTTTACTTTATAAGAATTGCTAATCTTTCTATATTCAATAGGAATTTGTAAACGGTTCTTTTTATCGATTACTCAATTAGTTAGACGTGCGTTGCTTAACTTTTGTGAACTTAATAATTTTGAAGCGAAAGCGAATTGAGTGCGAAATAAAAAGAATTGCGGACAATAAAGATAGCATAAATAACCAATTAAGGGTTAATTAATTTGCGGACTGTGTTTTGTTTCTATGTAATTCGGTGTCGCGATAAATCACGGAATAATGACGACTTGTTTTCGGGGGGTTGTTGGGGGTAGGGTAGGGTTCGTCGGGTCGTGTCGCACTCAAAACGCAAACAGCGATGAGAGAGAGAGAGAAAGAGAGAATCAGAGTGGAGGGATTGCGTTATGAATATTAAGTGGTGTTGTGCGGGGGTGGAGCGCGAGCGATATTTTCATCCTTCTCTCTCTCTCTCTCCCCCACACACCGAATGATAATCACGCGCCGGTAATGGGAATGGAACGACGCGGATCCGACACATCTAAATCACAAATAGAAACAACGGGGGCGGCGGTGGCATTATGAATGAACACAATAAAACGGGGCAGAGAAAAAGACATCTTTTGATATCTCCTTGTTTGTTAATTACTTGTAACTTTAATAAGATTTTTCGAAAATCACAGAAGAAATCAAAAACTGCAGAACATTAGGATGAGTCTTCTTTTGATAAAATTACTGCCACCTAATTATAATTAATTATTTTTACATACAAATCAAAGCCAATGTTTAGAATGTTTCGTTAATCAGGGTTCTAACGTGTCGTTAACTTCCGACAGCTACTCTGAAATAGAATTACATGCCATCTATTGTTGATCATTGTTAATCAATTTGGTCGTGAAAAAAAAAGAGAGATCATTATGTAATGTAATCGGATTGGTGGCGTTTGTCAAAATAGGAAATTGGGGGTGTGAGGAAGAGGAGGGAGGGTGTCGAAATCGATTCGATGCGGCGTCTGATGTTTGGCGTTGTTTCCTTTCGCTCTCAATTCTCTCGGAATTGGTTCTATTGTCGTTTTGCGGCTTGTTGTTTGGGAATGAATCGGGGGCTTTGTAATATATTTATTGGGGGATGATGTGTTGAAAGTAAATTCGCCCGAAAGTTAATCCCCGAGAACACACACCCTCTTCTCTTCCACTTTCTACTCTAAGTTTTTTTTTCTTTCTCTGCGAAGGGGAATTTTCGTTGTAAGCAAAAATCTGATATAAGTGTGCTGTCCTTTTTTTTCCTTCTTCTTCGGTGTTGCAGCATTCTACCCTCCCGCCTTTTTCTCGCTTTACGAGTAAATATTAGATTAACAGTAATCCAAAGCTAATATTCTTTGATACCCGTTGAAAGTTGTTCTTGGGGTGCGCGCCCCTAATCTTGTTCCCCCTTCTTTTTTTTTCCTTCTTGAGAGAAAGAGAGAGAGAGAGGGAGAAAGCGGTGCGTCTTGTTAGGAGCCCTCGAGGCTGTAGAGAGGAGGAGGATTCACCCTTCGCATCATCCGCAAGTAGAGAGTATGAGTGAGAGTGAGA